AAGATTTTTTTCCCATTAAATAATTTTTCAGTATCATTGGCCATTTGATTGATAATTTTAAAAAATCATCCAAAATGGATGAGTCATTGTTTATGTTATCAAACTATTAAAAATTATGTCATTCTTATATCAAATACATCTCTTATACATTATTTGAGAAGCGGTTTTGTGGAATTTGCTTACATGTCAACTCCATAATCACTATTCCAAATAAATGATTATATGACATCTCTTTTATTATGACATGGCAAAACACAATTAACTTTTTACTTTTTAAAATTTTGAATAACACGAAAATATATTTATAAAGTGGAAAACATTATTCTACAAAATAGAAAAAAATTAGTGGAACAAAAAAAATTATTTTCCCACTTTTCATTTTTCCACTCATGTTATTCCACCTATTCTGCAAACCATTTGCACCATAAGAATTTCTAAGAGAATGTACATATATAAAATATATTAATACGAAATAGTAAACATATATTACGTAAAATAATTCAATAAAATATAGAAAAATGATTTATGTATACTACTTAAACATAATATAATATTTTTTATTTGTTTATAGTGTATTTTTCCGCGTATAACGCGGGAAATCACCTAATATTTATATTAACGTATTAGTAAAAACGATACATGAGCTGAAGCATACAATCAGGAAAAACATTATTCTAAAGCCAGGTAGAAAATAGAAATACTCTTCGAGAAACAGTAGTTTGGTTAATATCAAACCTTAAAACGTACATTGTGTTATGTATCTTTATAAATATTTGTAATCATTTGTGAAGTGAAATACGAATATACGTTGCTATTCAAATCTCTATAGCGAGGATCATAATATTTATAGTGAAAACTGTCATAGAATGTACTAGAGATGGGCATAACACAATGTACATGGCATATTGTCAATACAACATAGATTAACATACAGATTATAAGGTGGGAAACACTTGCACACACAAATAATTTTTGAGATTTGGAAATTAAAATCAAAGGGTCCCAAGAGGCGCCTCATCGGTTTTGGCCGGTGCGGTCTCTTGTGTTGATGGCTCAGTCGCAGCAGAAGTTTTCTCTTCTGCCTTCACAACTTCTGGAGTTGGCTCGGCCTTGGTTACCTCAGAGGAGTCCTCTTTTGTCTCACCTTCCTTCACTGCATCTTCAGTAGTCTCTTCCTTCTTCTCCTGTGAATCAGCATATCAGCAACAGTAGTTTCATCTTAATGAGTTTGTTCAATCAAGATTTTCTAGTGATTATTCAAGCTACAATTATAAAAACACCTTATAGATATAGATATTTATTTCGCAATATGTTAATCATTGTCTTTTTGTTTTGTTTTGTTTTATATAATTTCAAGGCCAGGGGTGTTGATAGAGTTTTTATAATTTAAAAAAAAAAATACACAACCAATATTTAATGAATTTTAAGGTAATATTTCAAACGATTTCACTAGATAATCATAAACTTTTGTTTGCTAACTATAATTTCAAACACCCACAAACAAAATTGAACACTTTCTAAATCTAGCATTACGATCTTATCTAGCACTACGAGCCAAACTATCCGTCATATTGTTTGAAACATTAATAAAAAAAAAAAAATCATAATTTGTTTCTTGACATCATCTAATTAAACACTACCCAAAACTCTGGAAAAAAAACCACTTACAAAAAGGTCAAATAATCTGTGAAAACCTAGATTTCTAAAGGGAAACTATTATCCAAATGCGTGTATATATGATTTAAAATTTTCTGTGAAAAAAAGAAGATCAAATCAAATCGAACAGACCCTAGTGACAAAGCTAAAAGAATTAATCAAATTTTATAACAAAGAGAGAAATGATCAAATGCGATTCACAAAACCTGAGTTAATGTGGAATCTGTCTCGGCCGTGACATTCTTGGACTCAACAACAGCATTGTCGGTCTTCGGGACAGAGCCTTCGACGATGTCAGATTCCTTAGGTTTGCTCGCGCAGCCTCCCATAGTTTGTTTATTGAAAGGATTAGTTTGGAAACAAATTACAATGGGAAGAGCTGTGGAGCAAAAAAAAAAAAAGATGGGAGAGAAAAGAGAACTCCTCGAGACAAAGATGCCAAAACTAACTTCTTATTTTTATAATTGGAGGTTGAGCAAATGGAGAAGAAGCTTATGAAGAG